ACGACCGACTTTCTATTAACCTCGGCATTGATCAAGTGATTTTCTTTGTATTTTTGTTGAGCAAACGCGAGGTGTTACTATTCTTTGTTCACGATTAAGCTGACGTTTCGGCCGATTTCGCCTTCATCAGAGCCGCTTTCTATGGGGTTTCCACTAAGTATGTCACGTAGAGACCAACCGCACAGAAATCACGTGGAAGTATAATGCATAATTATAATGTATAATTATAATTCCATGTGATTTCTGTGCGGTTGGTCTCTACGTGACATACTTAGTGGAAACCTCATAGAAAGCGGCTCTGAAGAAGGCGAAATCGGCCGAAACGTCAGCTTAATCGTGAACAAAGAATAGTAACACCTCGCGTTTGCTCAACAAAAATGCGAAGTAATCCTGATAGCCGACTATTCATAGAGATGGTATTGTTGGCAGCAGTACTCCTCACCGAATCCCGTTCTTGCGCAGCCTTCCTCATGTAGCTCTCATTTTAGGGGTCTACAGAGGATAGTACCTTTAACAATAGCTCAGTTTAGAGTCGAAATCGCTAATACAAACGGCAATGAGCATTCCTGTTGAATATAACAAGGATTATCATTGGGACTGGCCACTTCAGCGCAACGATGACTTTGTCAAGGTTTATACCTGCTGACTATAATTTCAAAGCATATAGACACATAGTTTTTTTCTAGAGTTTCTTTAAGATTATTTTGGCTTTCATCTAGTAAGTCCAAATCCCATCTAACGATACTGGTGACATGATTAATTAGGCTTTTAGATTGTCGACGATTCGACACATTTTGAAGTGGATTTGGACGCAAAATTTTTCTCACCAAAGGAGATCGAGGTTTGTTTACCAGATTGAAAGAGTGGAAAGCACATGCATTGATTTCAATACACATATAAAAGCGCTTTGGTTAATGTATTCACTTTCCTGGATTCCAATCAATTGTATTGCCAAAAAATTGCCTTCCTAGATTGTATTTTTTACAACGGATAATTCTAAAAAGTGAATGAATTTGTGTGGAAATGAGTCAGGAAGAAGAGTTAAAAATTCAAAAACAACAACCGAGAGCAGGTTTCTAGGTGAAAACAGTTGGCGATTTGATTGAAATCCACATGGATCATGTTGCTAGCGACAATGACGTCCACAGCGTGAGCAGATCCATCACAAGGTTCGTTTGTCGCTTTCAAATCGAGTTTTAGTTTCGCTTCTAGTAAAAGTCTCGAGGCTATTTTAAAGTGCTGTGACGATTTCACTGTTGTCGAAGCGAATGTTTTTAAACGCTCGAAAGCAATATTTTTTCTTTTTGTCTGTCAGCTGCCTATCAGCTTTTAGCATCCAACTTTTATATCGATGAGAACAGAAATGCTCCTGAAGGTGGCGCTTATGGTATAGTACGCTGAGCGTATGATTCAAGTTATTATGGCGGTTCTCGTCACCACCGTTGTAATTGCAAAGATTTTAGCAAATATGAACGTTATAGGTGTTACAAATTACCACAAGATATTGATATCAAAACACTGAAGAGTAAACTCGAAAGAGGAATTTTGCACATCAGCGCTCTGAAGGTATCACACTGAACAACGACGGCGACCATCAGAGTGGCGACTGTTCATCTGTGCAACAACGAATCGTATCGGAATAGAGGTCCAATCAATTCCAGTAGAATATGAATAGCCATTAATTGAAATACTAGCATATCATCTAAGTAGTTTTGTGGTACCGTAGTGTTATCAGTTTTCATCAGCAGCAGTACCCAATCAAATCATCATTAGCCTTATCATTTGGTGTTTACTTAGTAGCCAATTTATTCACTTTTTTGGTTTTTTATGTCAACATCACTTTATGGTTATGCATAATGCGAATTTTCTTTCCAGTGTTTGAATCAGTAAATATATTCTAAACGAGTGTAGATATCATTTACCATGTTTACTAGCAAACGAAATAGTTATTCAAGGAATTTTCCCTAAAAAAACCTATCTATCCAGTAGAAGGGTTTTACAGAGATGTAGCTCCTCTTGACTTTTGTTATGAGATAAAGCTTGCTTGTTAACCGTTTACAACTATCCTTGAACTACAGAGAGAAGTCAATCGTTCCAAGAAAGGTTGTTCTTTGTTTATCATTCACTCATACCCGCTGCTGGAAAATAAAAACTTTTCGCTTTTAATTTGTGACTACTACTGAGTTCCTACATTCAAAATTTCCGATTTGGTTAGCTACAAAAGCAACTGACGGGTTTCAAACTTGCAAAACATTTGGCAAAGTCGCGTGGAGATGTAGATGTATTCAAGGGAGAAATGCACTCCTTCTCATATTGGTGTCTCCGATCGATATACACTTTTCTGATGTGACTGCACTTGTGTAGATGTGCTGTTCGTGGCCCACATGTTGATTCAACTTAGAGCAAATGAGCAAAGGACTGGCGGTAAGAGAAAAACAGTCTAGGCTGGTTCTTTACCTATAAGGTTCACTTTTCTACTTGGTGGAGCTCAATAAAGAACCCTATGAACGTATTTAGTTTTCGAAACAAGTGTTCCAATCATGGGTATGTTAAGTCAAGACTACTATAATTATATATTATTGCTATAAATATTATATTATTACATATTATTATATATTATTATTATTAGCAAAACTCTAGACCGCAGGTGTCTATGGTGGGGAACGAATGCGCTATTGTCCTTTCCGGGGAGTAACGCGTTCACCACCACACCATGTGGGTCCTTTGTTTCGACTATTTCTATTGATCTTTGCCACAGCAATCACCCGTCAGCGGGATTGATTTGGCTGAGAGACAGGCGAAACAAAGGAGCCACATGGTGTGGTGGTGAACGCGTTACTCCCCGGAAAGGACAATAGCGCGTTCGTTCCCCACCATAGACACCTGCCGTTCAGAGTTTTGCGAATATCTCAGCAACGTTGTGGTTGTATTTCGCTTAGTATCCTGCCTCGAAATTATAGTAGGCAGAAAATAAAAAGGTATAATAATAATAATAATATTATTATTATTATTATGTCATAAAAGCGCTCGTTTAGCTGATAACAAAGAAGCACCCGTCACTATAACACCTAATTGATCTAAGGAAATATTCTAGAAATTGGGAGTTAAAATATAAACCTTAATTTTGGAGTGGGTAACCCTTACTAAATACTGTAATTGTGAGTGATTGCGAGTGCGATTTGCGATTACTAATTTGCGAGTGTGAGTTAACTAGGTGCTGTGCCCAAAGTAGCATTATTACGCCGTAGTGTGCAATCATTTTCTGTGCACCGCTTCAGAGACCCTTAGATGACTGTGTTAGGCCAGATATGCACTGCACAAAGACCACTCACATCGACCTTTAGAGCTCCTAATGCAGACTCCAACAAAGAAAAAGTATGATGTTATTACAGTAGCGTGGATTTACGCAACCTTTACTGGGCAAATAACAAGTGCAAATGATGGAGTTATTCTCCTTCTTCTTCCTGAATACTCGTACAAAAGAGAGTCCTCTGAAGTAATATGATTATTTTCATCTTCTCACATTCATTCTTATGGCATTGCGGTTTGTAACTATTGTTGTACACGTTGGAGGACTAGGAGAGTATATAACGCAAAAAACTGCTTTAGTCTTGCCTAGAAAAAATGAAGCGCTTTACACTAACTTTCAATTTTATCTTTTGGTTATTTAGCCGCCATTAGATTTTCTTGGTTTTTTTCATATCCACGAATCTTTGGTTACATAGATTCGAGTTAATTGCCCTGCCTAAGTTATGCAGTGTTGAAAAGGACAAAATAAAATTAAATAATACGAAAAACTATTGTGAACCATCTTTGATTTAACCTCGGCATAAGTAATCAATGTACTTTTTTATCAACAAAAAAAGTGGGGAAAATTTGAACATGATGACAAGGCAAACAGAAATGTGGTACCTTCAGCAAGGAAAGATAACAGTAGACAAGGGAATGATGACAGTGTTTGAGAGCATCCCTTGAAGAACAAATATCTGATGGGGATGATGTGACTGTAGTGACGTCGACAAGGTGCTCTTTTACTATCACCAGAAGCGCTTAGTATCCTTAGTTTTCTCTAAGTTGAAACGAGCTTGTGGGATGCGCTTGGCCCAGTGGTCGGAGGCGCCATGCAACACACATGTGGAATCGGTCCCCGCACCCATGATCCACAAAGCTCTCCATTCCTCCAGGGTCGGCAAATTGGTAACAGACTTGTCTGGAAGGATAGCACTACTGGATCGATACATCGGTAGGCACCGTGAGTCATTGTGAAGGCCAGATGTACATTCAATAACGTCGAAACGATACCTAATGAAGTCAATTTCATGGTGCATTTCTCAGTGCTTGTTGAAAGCCGAAAGTTTTATTTATCCTTTTAACACGAGCTTACTGAATATTAACGCCAGACAGGCGTAAATTAGAGTCGAGTATCTAAAACTTTATGCTCTTTACAGCGACTGTTCTTAACGATATCGACAATACTCACAGCCTTTTTTGCCATAATATACTTATTATGCTCGTCGCTTTCGACACCAGGTTTAGAAAAGAGGATGAAAAAATGAGATGACCGGACTCCGTGTTGGTTAAAGGATGAATGTATGATAAATCCTAAGCTATTGTCATTTACTGGAAAGATTTTTGCTAGAAGAATATTGTCGTATGATCTATTGCCTCAAGAATGGTGGGGAACCCAATATTGAAAAGGTCTAAAGTTTTATTAACTAAACTAAAAGATGAGACGATAATGATGAAGGATGACTTTGGCTTCAGAGGGCAGTCTTGATCGTTAAACGTTGTCAACTGTGCACAGTGAAAACGTACGAGCTTCATGGTTGCTGATCGAGTTGCCATGACTTGGCGATAATATTCCTATAATTTCGAGTGCCAGCAGCACCTCGACTTTCCATTGTTAAAATTGATCGAATTCTGCTATTTCTATTTAAGCGATAATGCTTTAATCGATATATTGAGTAGATCGGCAACACAATCGTGAAGATGGGAACCACCTAAAATATTTGGAAGATTTGAGAAAGAAGAATATTCTTTTTGCCACTATGAAGACCACTTACGTAAAACATTTGACGAACGGAAATGCATAATTTTTTGTTATCGAGGAAGAATCGTTGGCAAAGCATTCTGGTGATGAGACCGCCGGTTGCGTTAAAAATGAGGAACAGTCTATAAGTAGTGTCGTCACTTAGATGTGATAACCTTCTCCGTCCATTTGCTTTACGGATATTTAACATCTTCTCTATGTCAAAGGAATAGTAATTATAGAAATACCGTTCTTTGATGAAGATGTGAATATTCATAGCAATCGTTGGAATTATGTGTGTGCAATGGTTTGAGTGCACTGTGATGTTCGCGGTCGTTTATCCTATCCTGCTCTCTCGGCCAAGGAAGTGCCACCCAGCTGGGAAATCCAAATTGATACAGACTTTTCTGGCAAGATAAAAAAAACGCTGACATTATTTTACTGAAGCCACTGGAAGTCGATGACTAAGCCGAATACACACACCTTCATCATATAACTACTGACCACTAAAGGACTCGAATAGTTGGCATACACAGCTTCGGCTGTACGTGAAAAACATTCTGAATGAAATCCTATCCAAATTTCTCTGGCAGATTAAGGAAGAACCGACCGAAGTCTACGAGCTATCTGTCGAAGGATTCGGAAGCTGTGCTGGAAATTACCTAACACGGATGATAATGGAAGTCAGCCGTAGAAATCCTTGCAGGTGGATTTAAATCGGTATGAGTAGAATTGGAAGCTGCTCAAAAACGATTCAATCTGAGGAAGTACCATCGGGACCTTCCCACGCCGTGATATAAAATTCGTAACGAAAAAGTTCTATGCCAATCTTCTTTACCCTTTAACGTCTGCCCCTACATCGAAATCCTCGATGCTGAAAAACCGCCCAGGATTATACTTTTCAAATTTCGAGTTGTAATAGAATGCATGAGGAAAGGCACAGCTTCAGGCTCAGGTAATATAACCGCCGATTTCCTCGGAGCTGGAGGCCACAAATTACATGTACTTCTCGCCATCCTATATTTTACCTTAAGAAAGAAGGAATCAGAGACCAGTGGGAAACGTCGCGCACCGTCAAGGAGGGCAACCGAAAGGTCATCTACGATTCAACATGCTTATTGAGGGTGGCGTTAGAGCCGTTCACGAAAATAATCCTTTTTGCATAACAAAGGCCTTGTATGAGGCGCGAACAGATGGAGCAAGCAGGATTTCGATAGGGATTCTGCCGCATGAATCGCGTACAAACCGCATCAAAGACCAGTCCTATCAGCGCTTATTGACCCAGGTCGCATTCGTCCTACATAGGAGCTCTGTCTGACTGTTATCAAAACTACACTACGAAATTACAGCTTTTGCTTCTCCTTGTTATCATGCACATAGACAAAAGTGCTCGACAAGGAGATAATATCGCCTGAGATTTTTAGTTCCGTACGCCAGTGGATAACGAAGTCATTCGATTAGCATGAGAAAGGTATACGTTTTAGTGGAAAATTCCTATCAAATCCTCGTTTTACGGATAACAGCATCATCTTTCCGAAGAGTACTAATGAAGTTGAAAGAATGTTCAATAAGTTCAACGAAGTGAGAAAAAAATCGGATAATAAATAAATCGAAAGAAGGCTCAGTTCACGAAAAACCCCTAGGGCGAAGGCGACCGCATGAAGATGGATGTTACTCTTTTTTGAGAGACTGCAAAGTACTTGTACTTTGGATGTTTAATGAACGTGAAAAGCAACATGAAGGAGGAATAAGACAGAAGAAGGAAAGCAGCTTGGGTTGCGTTCGGGCTTTCCAAAGAAGCTACCTTCCAACTAAAAGACCTACAACTCCGCGCTCGTCTCGATTCAACAGTTTTGCCAGCATTGCTCGAGAACGTGGTCTGACACTTCAGTTACGTCCGGAACGTTGTGCAGTACTTACAAATCGCTTAAACGTTCCCTTCTGAAATGTAGCCGGCAAGAACAGTAATATTTTCCTGGAATGCGAAAGCTCTGACTCTCGAGGTCTATCCCATTTTCGAGGTTCAGGAGAACACACATCGATAGCGGGTACTTATGGGCCGGTCATATTATGAAAAGGACAAGCGACAGATAGATAAAAAATTGTAGAGTGAACTCCATGAGGATGCACGCTTCTTTAAGACAATCATCTATGCGTTGGGCGGAGATGTTCGTAATTAGAGTCAATCAACTGTACTCGCAGTTGCAGATAGTTTTATAGATCACGGTATGAGACTTGCACCTGCAATTGTGCTCAAATCGGACCACCATGGTGGAGTACGACTGCGAGGAAAGGAAACAAATGGTAAATGCGCCGGACTTCGCACAACTCGTGAAGGTGGACCGTCAAAATATCCGTGTAAATTGGCTTCGATAGATAAACGCTGAACACTTCATATTTTATAGGTAGGAGGCAAAAGAGTACCTAATAAAGTGATTTCAGCACTATTTCAGCGATCGCTTGGAAGTGTTGCTATCACGTTAAATCGATTGTTATCCCCCACAAGCGATAATTGCAACCGACTATTATTCGCGAATTAAGAAGTGCTCGCTGAGAAAAGAATTCGTTTTCGGGGTTGAACATCTATTATGGTGTCTATGTTAAATAGAACCTGATTGAACTTACACTTGAAGGGTAGCGATGTGGCTAGCGAATTGTGTGGTAACGATGTTCTCGCGGATCTGATAGCGCGATGTTAGCGTTACACTGGCTCTGAATTCGTAACAGTTCATTGGTGGAAGATGTTGCTAGCATAATAGTTTTACCCAAGACAGTATTCTAAAACATTTATAGGCCTACTGTACTTCAGTATTTTTACTAGCTATTTTGCCTAAAAGCTTTTTGAGTGGTCTTTTTTAAAGGTCGTATGGTTTCGTCGCGATTTTGATGCGGCGACTGAAATCAACGTTCGGACAAGATGTCTCATGTCAAAATTGTGAGCAATAAGTCAAATAATTGCTTGGACTTTGCAATGAACAAGTCGAAGTCAGCAAAGTGCTTTTCATGAATTAGGTTTTTAGAGGTAAGAAATGGATAAATTCGTAGGATGAAAGCCCTAGATGTAGGAAATGTAAATGTGCCTCCCATTCTAGCGTGATCAACTACTTAATTTATGAATTCAATGTAATGTAGGGTGAAGTCAAAGAGCAGAGAAAACCGATTTTACACCAGTCGTTTCCTGTTAATATCAGGAATCAACTAGCGAAACTGATTTGCCTACAAGTTAAGTTCTTCGAGTCGCAGCAGTTCCCAATACATCACACAGTGCAGTATCAAAAATTTCATCTGTACGGGTGAGTTCGACATCGCTAATACTATTTTTCCTGAAAAAATAAAAAATTGCTTTTCAGTTGGGTGCGGCTTAATTATGAGCTCATTTGGTTTCTCAGAGTTTTCTTTTTTTCCTTTTTATTTTTTATATCATTATTACATGCCTCTCAATGGGTTACCGCCTCATCGTGCCTGGAAAGTGCTTCTGGTTGACAGGCTGCGATGTACAGTAGGGGCGATTCGTCCCTCCAGCAGGGACTCCCAAGCTGAATAAGAGCCCGGCGTTTCCATTGGGAAAGCCAGCTAAGAGTAAACCAATTCCAGGATCCACACCGTCCTTGTATCACACTAGTTGCAAGGAAAAAAATCTCGCTCTGATCCACAAGGACAGGACTGCCCGTGGTGGTAGCGACCTGGAGAAGCGTTGCTCAGGCAGACCTCGGCGCTCCAGGGAACCGCAATGGCTAGAACCAGCAAAACTCTGAAACAATGGAAAGTATGCTGGAGTCCGCACAACCAGCGATGACTGACCATAAAGGTCATCCAAGTACTGTTGCATCACCAGACATCATCTATTACACTGAACAAAGCCAAGCTCTTCTTGGATTCGAATAGTTTCCTTGAACCCACCATCCATGATGATCATCGAGTTTTTTTCGGGTCTGGATGCGGGTGGCTACTCCAGGATTTCCCAGCCTACTCAAAATTTTATTAAATGCTGGAAACCGAATTACCCTGAAATCCTGTACACATTCGGCAGTGCCTGCGCCTTCCCAAGTGGAATATTGGAAGTGATTTTGTCCTAGAAAAGTAGCGGGGCGAGATCGAACCAGATTTTGGGTGAGTTGGGTCGTTCGTGTAATGAGTGGGAGCATTGCCACAGCATGTACTATTTGTCTCCTTCGGATAATGCAACTAGAACTTGTAATCTAGTACTTAGGCACTCCGGTTGGTAGCTGTAGTAGAGTCACATGTTCATTGTTTTCGAATTCATTCAGGTGATTTTCCACTTCTGGCTATGAGGCTCGAGTGCTTCAGCTAATCTTTTAATCGAGCTGATCACTGCGATCGAAAGAGGAGTGATGGTTCTAAGCTTAAGGTTTGAGGATCATAAGCATAAAAAGCATAAAAAAGGTTAATAATTGTCGAAATAAAATAAGGCGCTGTTAATAATGAAATTACTTACACTGAGCATCGCTTCTTGTTGATTCGCGATGAGATATGAAGCGTGACAGTGCACAGGAAGCCAATGCTAATAATCAACACTGAGAGTTGGTTCAATTTTTTCATAGCATTAGGAGGAATGGCGAACGTCGAAAACATTGTCACATTGAAATCTTCGTATGTATGGAGAAAATATGTGGTAACAAATACACCAAGAATCTGCAAGAATAACAGCAAAATAACTTGATAACGGTACATTCGTGCATCAGAGCCTTATAGTCTCCTTTGTCGGTCACCTTTCATCACGGAGTCTTGTAATTAAAAGATAGAATGATAATGCATTCTATTTCTCGATGTTTTTCTTCAATAAGCAGATACGAGGTTGTTATTATAGAATTTATTAGGATAATACAGCTGACGTTTCGGCGGTTTCGTCTTCTTCAGAACCGTTTATTTTGTAAGTATTTAAGTTAGTTGATGGGTAGCAGCCGTACACAGTAATACATGGGCGATGACTGTGCCTGTGTCAGGTCATTGGATCAGCCTGAGGTATGACGTCAGGTCACGCGTGATGACGATTCGGTATTTCGTTAAAATTAGAACTCGATGATGTTCTCAGATGAACTGTTCGTGTTTATTGCTATCGGGACGTCGCTAGGTTTTTAAAAATCTGACTGTTACCGCCCATGTATTACTCTGTGCGGCTGCTATCCATCAACTAACTTAAATGCTTGCAACAATTAAACGGCTCTGAAGAAGGCGAAACCGCCGAAACGTCAGCTATTGTGTCCTAATAAATTCTATGATAATGTTTTTCTTTTTGGATTTCTCGTTTATTGATCAGGACAATGTGTATATAAAGTGTGTATCTTCGTTTTCTTGTACAAAACTATTGCTTCTTTTTTCCTAATTTACTTACATTTTTTCAGTGAAACCAACTGGACAACAAAATTAAGTAATTGCAAAGAATAACGTTCACCGTAAGCTCAGACACGATGAT